TCTCATCTTTAGACTAGGTTATAGAACATCAACAATTGCCATTCAGACTAGATCATCAAAATGTGTTTAGCTTGGACACATTCCGAGATAGATATCTTGAATGGTTTGTGTAATCCACATAAATATAATGAGTTCAAGAATTTCAAATTTCCATTCAGTTTCAGATATTCTCTCTTGATTACAAAACTAAGACTGAATGGGGTCCATCATTTTTCTGAGTGAATTATCCCAAGTAATGATTACTTTAATAATCACATAGAGGTAACATCTGTGATATATACAAACACTGCAAGTGTATATGATACAGAAGGTCAAACAAGGTTGCATCACAGTCTTAACTTTCCCGCCAAATGTTTGTCACATTGCATGGTCTCAAATTGAGCAAGTAAGTGAAGAGTTCACTGAACTGAATAACGCCATGCAATGACCAAATTCTCCCCACACCTTTATGATTGTAAATTATACATAAAAATGGAGTGAAATGAACAGCTACAAAAATGGCTGAATCACACACACAGATGCACACACTGGTTTACGAGATGAAATCAATGCCTCATCCATAACTGTTCCATCTTTATAGCAGTAACTCACTGAAGCAAATGATAGTTTGTTACCTTCTCTAGGGTGTTCCCGCGGCGATCAAGACAATCTTGTGGATTGCCTTCAGATATTCTAATTAAACCAATTTACAGGTCACAATGAATCCTACAGAAGAAGCAAAATAATGAATACAGAATACAGAGGTTCCAACTTTGGTGACAACCCCATTGGTAGATACAGCAGGCAATTCCTACAGAGTGGGAATATTCCATTCTTATAGAGGTGTGTCAGGTCAATTTATACCCAGAGATAAGAAGTGAGTTTTTATTTCTTTATTTGCAAGCACTATTAATTCAGCCTGAATAAATGCATCAAGTAGGCAATGTTTATTTATTTATTTTCTCTGTCTCTGTAGCTGTTAACTTCACAGTCAACATGAAATGATGGTCATCGTTAATACTTCCCAAATAATGTTACATCAAGGGATTTCAAGGGATAACAATTTCCATTGAATAGGGCTGATAACTATTGTTTTACTCGTTTTCAAACTTATTATTTACAAACTCATTTAGGTTTGTGATAGAATATAATTTGAATATATCAACAAATATATTTTATTTTATTTTGAACACAGTATAAACTATTCAAGTTTGAAAATTCCAGGATGTATGAAAATGGTGGATCAACTGACCTATAATCACAGAACAGTCCTAGGATAGTGGAGGGGGGGGGGGGGTTGAGGGGTTTCACAATTCATCTCAGAACAACCAGTGTTGGTTGAGTAAACCATGAAAGCAAAATGCCTTGTTCACTGGTCAAATTAGATTCATTTAAATGATAGATCTATTAGCACTATATGAATAATACATATTTAGTACCACTGCCCTCTATGGCAAGATTTGAAAATGTAATTATTACTATTTTTTACATATAAACATATATATATTGAATTTTCACAACAGTCAAGTAAACACAAGAACACAGAAATCATTATTTCAGAGGCAGCTTATCTGAATATGTTGCTGCCTTTTAAAAATTAAATTCATATGCTATAAAAAACGCAGACACATTTCCTGTTTTTAGCGAACACTAACATTGGGCATAAAATCTACTCATTATTCAGTTTAAGGAAATGTTCATTTTATGGAGATGTTCAGTTAACCAAGGTGTTATACAAAAGACTGAAAAATAGTATCAAGTTTAGACAGCATTTCGTTTGATTTACAAACAATTTACTGATTTTTAAAATTGTAAAACAAATTATATTTAATAATATACACTACTATTAATTTTAATAAATATGGTTTTCTAAAATTAATATAACAGAGTTCATAAATAGTATAATATACTATTTGCCTCAGAGTAGACCAAGCTGTAGCACTTCAAAAAACAATTATTTAAATTAACAGCCTTTTTTTCAATTATGGAGAAAATCTAGGGATTTAGATGAGACTTGTATTAAATTAACAGGTTTATAATTCCATTTGACATATTGACTTATGACCTTTACACTAAAATTGCAAGGCTAATGAGACAAGAAAAGCAAACTCATGTGGAGCAGAACAATTGTCAAAACAAACATCTTCAACACTTCATTTACTGCAAGACTGGATTGTTTTTATACAAACAGGGATTGAATTCCCATTAGAAATATTAGATCTGTTTTGACAATGCCACCATTCCAGCTTTACTGCCATGTTCTTAATTTTAATTAAAGTCTTCTGTAATGTATTGGGATCCCTTGATGTATGTGTTATATACCAAATGAAAAAGTATCTAATAATACAGTTGTACAATGTACTTGTAAGAATATCAGAGACAGGATATTTCTAGCCCAATGATCACCAATTTAAAGAGGCAATATTTCAAATTCAAATTAATCTTATTAGAGTTTGAGAGGACACCCATTTTCCAGACAAGATTTGATAAAATTGTACTTTTCAAAGGCTGCCAATATAAACTCAAACTTCTTGGCATTCAAGAAGGTGCCTTATTTGACTGACTTGCCTCTGTCAAGTTCAAACCTTTGGCTTCTGACTCCAGACCAGCAATACACAAATGAATTTTAGATTGTTTGAACACAAGCCATCATAAATAACCTCGATCTAGGACTGTAAAGCTAGAAACCAATTTTATGACAATACATGACCTGGTTCCAGAATGGCAGATATTCTCAACTTTGATGAACTTTTACCATAAAGAATGACCACCATATAGCCATCTTGAAACTGATCATCAAATAAATACATGTACATGTGCATGTATGTATCAAGTATGAATATGATTTGGCTCAGAAACTGGCCACTGGTCAGCCATTTTGAATCTGATCTGAAAAACATAATACTGTGCATCACTGTGTAATGTCCAATGTATGTCCAAAGATTTAATGAAATTTATCCATTCATGATCAAGATTAGGTTCTGGAAAAGCAGAAATGCATAATTTTGTTGAAAAGCCATTAAGCCATTGCTGAGATCAAAATCACATATTTGTTGTGCTTCAAAATAACTTTACTGAGAGTCACAGTTGCTTGTTTGTATTATTATAATTCACTTTATATCTGATTTTCTGAAATTAATTACCACAAATTATTTACAGCCACAAAACAATGATTACATCGAGACATTTCATCTGACAAAAACGAAGGTAACAACATAATTGTAAATGTAAAGCAAATCAATAATTCCTCTTTGTCACTATTTCACTATTTGCCACTATTTGTCACTATTTCACTATTTGTCACTATTTCACTATTTGCCACTATTTGCCACTATTTCACTATTTGTCACTATTTGCCACTATTTCACTATTTGTCACTATTTGCCACTATTTCACTATTTGTCACTATTTGTCACTATTTGCCACAATTTGTCACTATTTGCCACTATTTCACTATTTGCCACTATTTGTCACTATTTCACTATTTGCCACTATATTTCATTATTTGCCACTATATTTCACTATTTGTCACAATTTGCCACTATTTGTCACTATTTCACTATTTGCCACTATTTCACTATTTGTCATTATTTCACTATTTGCCACTATTTCACTATTTGTCATTATTTCACTATTTGCCACTATTTCACTATTTGCCACTATTTCACTATTTGTCATTATTTCACTATTTGCCACTATTTCACTATTTGCCACTATTTCACTATTTGTCATTATTTCACTATTTGTCACTATTTGCCACTATTTCACTATTTGCCACTATTTCACTATTTGTCATTATTTCACTATTTGCCACTATTTCACTATTTGCCACTATTTCACTATTTGTCATTATTTCACTATTTGCCACTATTTCACTATTTGCCACTATTTCACTATTTGTCATTATTTCACTATTTGTCATTATTTCAATATTTGCCACTATTTCACTATTTGTCATTATTTCAATATTTGCCACTATTTCACTATTTGCCACTATTTCACTATTTGCCACTATTTCACTATTTGTCACTATATTTCAGCTTTCAAGTATCTGCATTATCTTCTGCTTTACACCTTCAGGGCAATTAAATATTCACACAAGTTTTTTTTCACAATATTTATCGCTTGTTTTACATCAAAGAAACAGGCTTACAGAATTGATTGGTTTATTGATGGGAAAAGTATAGGAAAATGAGAGTTTGGAAATGACTTTAGACATCTTATACATATATAGGATGCCATGCTTTCTCAATGAATTTTGATATTTTTATTTTCCCACTAAACAATAGCTACAATAATAAACACACCTGCAATTCACAAAGATAGACAAATATAAATGACACAATATCTTAATTTGTAACAAAAATAATCCTAAATTGGAGATTACATTCTTAATCCTGCCTGCAGGTCATCTTATATTATTAGAAGGACTCATTTCGGGACAAGAAAAGAATACATGTATAGATAAACAGAATAGGTTTTCATTTTCCTCTGATATATAGCAGGATTTTTCTTATAAGAAACTGTTGAACTGCACTATAAAAATCAATAAAAAAGTTATCAATAAAAAAAAAAGCTGACTTACTTAAAAATGAATGGCAGCAGTGGTGAGGAGTCGGCGAGATGTCAGGAATCAACTGGTTTCACTCTGGAAGGATAATGAAATAAGAGAAAGGTTAGGTTTGGATTAGAGCTGTGACTCATATAAAATCCACATTTACTATGACACAAACAAATAACATTGCTATTTGCTATACAATTCTCCCTAATAGGTTGATCTGCAATCCATGCAACATTAAGCTCGCAACCCATTTCCATAATTAATTATTTATTTATTTCATTAGCGACAGTTATAGCCCAAACGACATAAAAGACACAGTGTTTTAGAGACATGCTGGCTACAGAGGCCGGTGAATTCAAGGAACAATGGCACACAATTTCCTGTAAATGGTTTATGCTTTAAGGGTTTCAATAACGTTTATGACGAAAAATGCATTTATTCTGTGAACTGGAACTATAGTGATTCCTTCAGAAAAGCTGAAAGCATTCAACATGCAATTCCTTCCAATTTAATAATAAATTTTTCATGGCAACAAATGTCAGCAGTTGGTAAGTAGTTTTAACAGAATACTTTCGTGACTTGATGATTTATGGATATCAGAAAAACAAACTTTTACAAAAGTAATTCCTAGTCAGTTTACTGACAATTCAGAATTTGTGTGCAGCAAAATTATTAAGATTTACAGCAAAAAAAAAATTTGATTTTCCCTAACATGTGTATCCCAAAATTACACAAAGACTTGATTGAAAACAATTAAAATCTGGAAAACAAATACCCTGTTTTTTGTTGTGCCTTGTCCCAACACAAGAGAAAAACAAATGTAATCAAGTTACACTGCATAAAGGAGCTTAACAATGGTGGAGTTTAATCTCATTTTTAGGAGGAGGGATAGCAGCAGGGCTGGGGTGGGGGTAAGCATTACATAATACTTACTTACGCCATAGTGAAACAGATGTGAACCGAAAACATGGCATATGTTGGCGACCATTTGCAGTGAGTTTTCAAGTGAATTTTAGGTCTCAACTGATTGTAAGTACCATGGTGAACTGTATTTATTTTTAGCATAATTCAGGTGTTCAGACATGTTGTTATATTGACCTGTACACATTTTTATTAATATGACATTTAACATTGACAAACATTGTTTACTAACTGATTCATGTTTGTGAAGAAGACATAAATAAATGAAAAAAATACACAAAAGACAGAAATGTATGCTGAACTGTAACATTCCATATCTGTGTGTCAGCGGAATTGAGCGTATTATTCAGTGGATGATGTATATTAAAAGTCTTCTGTAAAAAACGCTGTGTTGTGGGAGTATGAGATTACTGTATCTGTACCAGTAATTACTGAACTCAACATTCTACAGACATAACTGACTTTTCTAGTCAGTAAAAAAATCATGTGATGTGAATACACTTTCTTGAAAATATTAAAATCTGTAACAAGCATTCCCACTTTATTAATTTACAACTGAAATATAAATTCATCAATGTGCTAATATTATTATATATGCATTATAACACAGTTACAGTAGTCTGAATTTAGCCATATGATTGCCTGAAGCAAGATCTTATATCTGGCACTAGAAGACATGCCACTGATTCTAGATCACACAATTGTGCGTACTGTCCATACTGATTGCGAGTATATAATCAAAACCTAAACCTGAGTATATAATCGAAAACTAATTAATACAAATTATTTATTGCCCAAAATGTTAATATATTTTGCATTTTGCGATAAAAAACCCTGTGAGAATGTGCGCATTCATTGATTCGAACATGTGATGCATTGTTCATTGCTACTCACCGGCCCGGCCCGGCCCGGCCCGGCCCTATCATCTGTTTCAAATTTAAATGTAAATGCAAAGAATTACAACTAAAAACACTGTATTTTTTTTTACATTTTGCAGAAATAGTGTATTGGTCGGTATTACTGATAGTTTGTTAAATGCTATATTCTAGTTGATTTTGTCAAGTGTTGCATTTTGTATATACTATGTTTTAGATTTGGAATTTGAATAGGAAACCTAGAAAGTACACTACAAGTAAATTCAGACCCCTTAAAACGTGTAAGAATGCCAGTTTACAATTTGTTGATATATTATATGAAACTATTAACACATCACCTGACTCTGACGTTGTTTTTTGTAGATGCTTTCTTTCAGTAGACGTAGAGTTCAGCATATATAATGGTGGTCATACATATAATGGTGGTCTATACTCAAGATCACATTTGTACAACCCTTAACCTTTTCACCACCAGTTCCCTCTTTTCATCACAAATTCACAAAATAATCCTGTTTATAGTCTGCACTCTCCTTCAGAAGATTGGGACAAAAATAGCCACATTTTTTGAGTAAAAACTGAAAATTCACTCAAATTTTGGGTGTTCATACCAAAATCAGGGTTCATTGAAGAATATTAGAAAATTTGGGTGAGAAAGTTTGGTGGTGGAAAGGTTAGGGAGAAAACTATTTTTGTTTAAATCCCTCACTCCACAGTTTTATTCATCCTCTCACTATCCACCAACAAAGATTTCCAATCCCAGGATTACCCATAATAGCCGATATATTTCAAAAAATACAATATTTCATGCAGTGATGGTTTTTTGAGCTTTTCTTGAAATTAGAATAACATTAACATTGAGCTAATCTAATCTCATGGATAGGGAATCTACAAGTCTCAGACTCTGTGATCAGTTATGACACAAGTAACAATGCCCTGTAGAATTGTGATCACCATTACCTAGACATCAAAAAACTGAAGTCCCAGTAGACAGGTGGTAATTATATGAACAAGGTAGCAAATGTAAAAACATTTTCACAAAGGAATTGAACCAGCAGACTGTCGGGATATATGTAAGTGTAAACAGATTGAGGTGACAGAAATTATCAGCTATAGGACCTATCAGAGAAATATAGGCTAAGCCACATCATAAACTACTGTATTTGCTGTACTAGTAGTGACAAAGGTGTCAAGGTGAAGCCATGACCAAGCGTTTTCAACTGATAATTTTATTTGTGAAGTTTGAATGTAATAGTTCCATGCATATCTGAGGTACAGGTATGAATGCTTGAATGAACACATGCACAGAGGTCAGAGGTGACTAATTACTTACAACTATAAAAGTTTGATATGCCTCTATTAGAGATGAGGTTCTACCAGGTAGGTAGTTTTGAAGTCTGATAATGAGTCCAATGCAAACCTACTACACTACGGTACCAGTGACCAGTTTATACTGTTGTTTATAAACCAAAGATACCGTAATAATTCATATGGACACTGAAGTACTTTTTCACACAATTCACTTGGTCAATTGGTATTCATGAAAATGATTACCACAGGTTTCTAAAGTTGAAAAGCCTTATGATATCTCCAAATTTAGTTGTGTTACATAGAGTGAGAAAAATCCTATGTAGTTATAAGATATGTACGCTTGTCATGAACTATTAGAAGATGCTGATGAATACTAATTATTTTTATGAAATAGCTCTTTAACATGAACTCCTAATCAATAAAACATTATGTAATACTTTTAAAACAATAAATAGTGAAACATTTCTTCTATTTGATAGGTCAAAAGTACACCAATGACCTAAAAGAGTTTAGTTAACAAATGCAACAATCTAAGTCAATATTGTTGTGTCAAGTTACAACATAAACATACTATAATGCCAACAGCTACAATATGTTTTAATATTTTATTATCAGAATATAATGATCATAGGTCAAAGGTCAAACCTATTTGTGCATACCTTAGTGATCACATAACATACATGTACTACCTCTCCCCAAGTAATATTAAAGTCCTGATTATAAAAGTTGGGGTGTCGATAATAAAGAAACATGCTTTTTTTGTTTTGTTTTTACAATACATAAAAATAGGAGCTCCACTGTTTATTTCTTACATGGCCTCACAAGTAAAATAGTCACTGTTTGTGTAGTGAAGAAACAGGTTTGTGATTGTTACTGATCTTTACTGCCAATGTGGGACTAACTGCTTCTCTTACTGTGTTTTTTTTGTTTACAAATCTTCAAATTTGTCACCAAAGATTGTGGTTCTAACCACAACATATAAATGAAATGATATACATCCAAAGTAGATATCATATTAGTGTTTTCTCACGTCTATCTCTAGAACATAAGACATTACAACCTACTAATCCATACCATCACATCTCCCTTACCCATATTACGGGTACCAACATAACTTTCTAAGACTAAAACACCACCAAGATTGTTTAATGTGATGCAGTTAATTCACAGAACTGCATTAAAAATACGCACATACCTGTCATGTGCAGACTTTTAATATATAGCAGTACTTTGTTGGACTAATGTATTCCTAACGAGGGGTTGGACTAATGTATTCCTAACGAGGGCACATTTTTGTTTCCACTAACAATTTGATGACTATGATAAAAGGCTCATTAAGCAAATGACACTAGAGGTCATAGGTCACAGTGCTGCTCATGACAACCAGAAAGAAAGTTTCAATTTTGATCCCTTTATCATAAAACAAGCAGCCTCTCGGCTGAGATAGCTCCGCTGTTAGCAATGCACATTTCAATTAAAGAACAGAAAGTATCATTAAAAAATGAACAATATGTATAGTATCAAAACAATCAGACTTGCGTTTTTCAACAAGATGTGGAAAATATCACTTTTTACCAAAAATTACAAAAATATTCATCAAAATTAGAGAATTAAAGATATCATCATGAAATGAACAAATCTGAGTTAGAACCACATGTAGTACCGATATATGTAACATCAAAGCAATTGGACTTGTGGTTTTTAACAAGAAGTCAAAAATATCACTTTTTACTAAAAATGACAGAAATATTCACCAAAATTAGAGAATTAAAGATATCATTACAAAATGAACAAATCTGAGAGAGGTCCACATGTAGTACCTATATATGTAATATCAAAGCAATTGGACTTGCAGTTTTTAACAAGAAGTTGAAAATATTATTTTTTACCAAAAATGACAAAAATATTCACCAAAATTAGAGAATTAAAGATATCATTACAAAATGAACAAATCTGAGAAAGGTCTACATGTAGTACCTCTAT